TATTCTTTGGGACTGCTCATCAGCGCGTTTACATTCTTCATTTTAATATCACGGCTTTTGTCTCCTTGCGGATTATTTACACATTCTGAGTTCACCATATATCCGCCATTTCTCCTACATGACATTGTGCACATATTTTGCTTGCACCCATGGTCATGTGTTTCCAACACTTTCTTACAATTTCTATACATATTCTAGTTGACGTGAACTCTCATACACGACTTGTTGTGTTTTCAAGGAAAACTTCCATCTTTCAAATTGTGCAACTAGTCAATTTAAAAAGCCAGGTGTTTCAAATTTGCCTAAGTTAGTTTTCCTGAGCAGAGCTGGGAGTGAATTCGGGACCAATTACGAGTATGTTACTACAGTACATGTAGTAATAAGCATGCTGTAGGTGGTGATGGGCTGCTGGGAAATAATGCTGTTCCGAATCAGGCCTACTATAGCCGACGATTGCGTCGGGTTAAATGACACAAATGTAAAAGTACAAGTACACATTTCAGGAAAGTGATGCAGAGCAAATGTGTTCTCAATCATCAGCTTGCCTTGCACCAACTAGCGTATTGCATTATACTTTCTTTACTCTAACAGAACCTACCCCAATAGAACATTTCTTCCCAATGCAAAGTAGAAATTGAAATCGTTTTCCCCTTTTCTGGAACTGTAGACCTCACAGTAACCTTGTACTCATCACATGCATAAGTATCTCCAACCTACCACGAACACACACACACAAACCTTTCAGGGCCGGAGGAAGGAGTTCGGGAGTGGTCCGGCGAACCTTTGAGGGGGTCCGGGGGACGTCCCCCGGGAGAAATATTTAAAATTTACGTGAAATAGAGCGAATTTGGGCATCTCTAAGGCTCCAGAAAATGCAGAAAATATAGTAAAAGAACACAAACACAACTTTTTGTAGCCATATCAGCCATACAGTGCCGGTCACGGAGTCCTGAGCTACTTCGAAGCACATCACATGTCAGCAGTACAGTCGAGTCATGTACCTCTGGATTTTTTTACACCGGGTTTTGCACGAATCACATGGACCATCCAGCTGGGAAAGTGGTCCGGCCATGGCCGGACCAGCCTGACCGGTTCCGCCGGCCCTGGCTTTGTTTTCCAAATCTAGACTAATTGCCTTGTCCAAAACACATTTTGATAATTGCCAAAAAAATGTAATGAATTTATGTAAGAAATCCGATAGAAACCTTGATAGATCTGCAAAGAGTCAATTATCCATTCTTCAAACGTGGAGTGAGCCATTTTCACGACTTCTCAACAATCCTGGGTACGAGCAGGGCTGAGGCCACAATAGACGTACCTCAGATTATATGAGCGTGCAACATTTTTAGAGTGATCGAAGTGAATTCTTTTGGACTATACGGCTTTACCCCGAGGGTGGGTCATGCCCGAAATTTGGTGAACTTAGATGCAGCAGACATACCATGTGTGAGTATTTGGACGTGCTGCGTGAAAGAAGTTTGTTAATTGCTGCAATGAAAACCAAAAAAGGATTTATCACTGTGATATGACTGAGTTTGTTGAAGTCTCGATTATACAGTTGAATAACTTGAAAAGAAATATTTTTGGAACCGGAGAGGAGGAATACTAGCATACGTGGGTCTTGCATGGAGTTTATTGCCAAGTTATTGCGTGCCAGCAATACAGGTTCATGACGAGCATTCAGACCTTCCAAACCAGTGATAGTTACACTGCTAAAGGGTTGCCACCCAATCTCTTCATACTTCATAGGCATCATTGCCTTCGCCTTCGTATGTTGGAAGGGAAGCCGGATGATGAGTGATCATCATCACTCTGTCAGCGTGATACCCTTGTACCATCACATACGTATAGTCATTCTCACTGCCACTCCTGCGATCAATAAAATTGCGCTGTTTGTCACGCTTGCTCTCATAGTTCCATGTCACCTCATATCGACCCTCAGCCGCAAGACTTTCCGAATCATTTTCCGAAGTTTTCTTTGCTCGTGTTTCTTCATCGGAGTAGATTGTCTCGCAGTACTCAATACCCTCCTCTGAGCACACTTTACCGGCTTCGCCAGTGGTGGCTCTGACGATTGCTGGACTAGTCTGGCCGCCATGACTGTTAGGCATGGTGTCATATGTGTACTCGGGGAGTGGTGTCGTCGAGTCACTGCCCACGGCGACGGCACATGTACTCGCTGTGTGCTCACTAGCAGCTGGCTGAGCTATGCTGGCGTTGGGTCTAGTTTCCAACCACACATCCGGCTGTCTCTCCTCCTGCAGCGGCCTCTTGGCCCGATGGCGATTGATGAAGACCACAGCGGTTATGAGCAGTGCGACTAATATGCTGCAAGAACTGGCGATGATAGCAATGAGAGTTGTCGATGCACCCTTGTTATCAGTTCCATTTTCACTGGACAAAGTGCTTCTTTCACTAGTAGTTGTGTTCACGGCAATTGTTGTTTTCGTTGTTGTTGACATGGATGTTGCCGTGTCAGGAAAAACACCTGGCAACAAAAAAAAGCACCGCACAATCCTTGGATTAGTTCCATCAAGGATAGATTTACGCAGAGGCCAAACAACAGAGACCAAACATAATTGTTCGTAACCGTGAGCTACACTGATTTTCACTGTTCAAAAACACTGGTAAGACAGTCTGATGGGTGTTTCTGGACACGAAACTCAGAGTTACGGACGGAAGTTTTGGTCTCTGTTGTTTTGCCTTTGTGTGGTATGCTCTGCCCTCTGCCCTACTACTACTGAGCGTGGACACAGGGCCGTTGCCCGGCACCATTTGCAGCAATAGCCCTCGTCACGTAGTGCATGGTAGATTTACGAGGTTCAGGTCATGTAATTAGCAATGTGCGTTACTGCGTATAATTATAATGCACACTAAAACCTTTGTAAGTACCGGTACAAGTACACTAAACCATTTGTAAGTACAAGTAGGGTATTTCCCCGATTGTAAGTCGCACCTTTTTACACTAAAATTCAAGGGCAAAGAATGGGGTGCGACTTGCAATCGAGTGTGACTTCTTACTTATGTGAATGCATTTATTAGACGATTTTGTTCAGACGTGAGAATGGGCTGCGACTTATAATCAAGTGCGATTTATAACCAAGTGCGACTTATAATCAAGTGCGACGTATAATCGGGGAAATACGGTAGTGTATTCACTAACGTAATCCAAATTAGTCTAGAAGAACGCAGTCAGAATTTCTGAAGAGGATTCCATTCTTCTCACTTTTCATCATGAGTTGATAAAGGGAGTGATGGAAGACATCAGGATTGGAATTCAGCAACTACTGTAAAGGCTCGCATCAATGCCCACCCAGTATGACGCCCACTGCCCGTGTAAACGCCCTAGTGCCGGGTGTCAATACTCTTGTCCCATTTTCTAGCCCACCTCCGTGTAAACGCCCATGTGCGAAAGCACAGGTCCATTACACAGTGCATTGCATGCACAGGTCCATATTGTAGTACGGCATGATGTGATAGTAAGTCTCATTTCACTTACTGTAAGAGTTGAATCTCTACCAGGGCACAAAGTGTAGCGCTATAACGAGAGAACAAATCCATCGTTAACTAAAAAAACGTTTCTAAGGTCACACCATAAATGTCCTTTGTTTCGGGTAACCCGGCCGACCGATGTTTGAGCGCCGACCGATTCTTTTTTTGGATGCATTCATGCATATGTATTCATGCATATGTATTCATGCATATGTATTCATGCATACGTATTCATGCATATGTATTCATGCATATGCGCATCATAAAAATGTACATGTATGTGTTGGCACTTGGCGTTGTGCCAGGTCCGAGTTCCTTCCTGTTCCTGGCTCTAGGCGGCTAGACATTTCAGTCCTTTGTTTCGAGTTTACTCGATCCATGGTCCAGTCGGATTTGGTGAAAGGTGTTTTTCTTGCCAATCCTAACATTTTCAACACTGGCATGTTTTAGTTTAGAAACTCTAGTGGCAAAACGTTTCCGTCACTATAGTTGCCGGCGGCTGGACCGTCGTCAACTGCTACATTGTTCGAGTCACGTACCCTGAGTTATTTGTTGGAAACTCTTCATCCAGAAGGCGTCACTTGCTTCAAAGCAGTGTTTGCTTCCGAAACCAACGGTGCTGACAAGAATGATAATGTTGGACTTAAAATATGGAGTTTGGATGCCGATTCTTTTTCTTTGCGTTGGAGGAACGGGAGCTGTAGTAACTGACCTGCGGCGATCGATGAACGATGTGTTGATGCGCAACGTCTCAGACCTCTGCTCCGCTCGCGGTGGTGTCTCTGTATGAACAGTTTGACTTTTCCTGGTGGTCTGATCAAGCTGCATGCTATGTAGTCTACATGTAGGCATGCCTGATTTAACGACCGCACATTTTCTATCTGGGCTGTGTACTGACAATTAATATACATACCGGTCTGGCATGCATACAAATTATAAGCAAAAAAAAGAAAGCCGACCGACCGACCAGTGTTTCAAGTTCTGGCCATGTTACCCAAAACAAAATACTTTTTCACTGCAGCTTCATGTGTTATTTCTTCTCTCCTGGACTGGAGAGACAGAAGACGGGTGTGGGATGGCAGCGCCGTCACACCTTCTACCCGCCAAGTGGGGGGAAATTGCACTTTGGGTTCGTCACACTTTCAACTCTTACAGCATCCGAAATAGCGCCCGGGCCCAAATTGACGCCCATGTTCTGGACTTTCATTAAGGTTTCTTGGGTTGAAACATCAGGCTACAAGTGTGAATTATTATTTGCCAGAGAAATTGGATACAAAGGAGCAAATGGCATGAAAAGTTATAATGGTCATTCCTGCAGATGTCTGGCTGGTAGCCGCTAACTGACTCAAATTCAATCTCACCTTCACTGTACATGGTTGCTGATGTCATCGTGTCTTTTGTAAAACGTCCTTCAGGGATGTCAGGTGCGGCAGCAGTGGCCTCTGAAGCAGGCGTGAGAATAGCTGGCTGCTGTTCACCGGAGCATGTCACGCCGTCTGCAGAAATACATGGACAATAGAATTAGGATTATCCTGCGTACAATAGAATTGTTAAAGAGTAGAATTTGAGAAGCAGAATCTACTATAGCATACATCTTGCCATTCACTATGTAAACTTTTAAAGTTGCAGGTACCCGACTCCACTGAGAGTAGATCCACGGTAGGTTAACCCTCACCAATAGCACATGTGTTTAACACACTGGTGTTCAGGAACTCCACGTGATACACGTTTGCCAACGGACACTCCTCAATAAAGGAAAAGCATGATATTATGCTCACATGCATCCTGAAAATAGACGTGCTCCACCCGACATATGTACTGTTGGCCATGTCTTAACATTTATTATCGATTCAACATCCGAGTTTCAAAAAAGTTCATAAAAACTAAGTTCATTTCAAGATAATTACCCCTTCAAAATTTGGCCTTGTTACGAGCTGCATCTTGGTTCTCATTATTGGGCGCGGTTGCATTCCTGCGAAGGTGGCAGCGTCACTCTCATCGACTCTTGCAAGAATGATACATTTTCTTATTGTCTCTGCATTTACTCACACTTGATAGGATGGTCCCATATCCTCACCTGCACAGCTACACTGGATTGTGATGTCATCCAAGGCTATATCACCATTGGCAAACGGGCGACGCTGCACTCTGGACAAGTTGCTACCCAACGGTTCAGGATGGCACTTTACTTGAAATCGAAACTGCAAACACCATTTTAAGTGCAAACATTAGTAAATTTAAAATGGAAGAAAACACTGGCGAACTATTAAAGTAAATTTAATGGTAGAGTATTGCTGGTGAGGGTCCCTGGCTTCAGTCCTGATGGAAGCAGATAATAATCCGAACCATCGGTTTACTTTTTCACTTCCCTCAAGCTGGAGAAAAGCAAAAATAGTTGTTCCTTGTACTGTAGCATTGGAATTGAAAAAAGAAGGTCAGGTGGTGCTGGCATGCAATGCACACCCTACGATACGCTACCCTATCGAATAAAATCTTTCACTGCCCACCGCATTTCAGAACATAGATTATGCTGGTTACATCTGTGTTATATGATAATATCACACATTTACCTAGTGTATAATGTGAACCAGGCCTTTCCACTCAGCACCACCTGGACGAGCTCTCCAAGAAGGCCCAGGCTCGAGCAGCTTGGAGAGGCTTTACTCACGTGGCACAGCGCGCGTGCGGATGTTGGCGATCTCTAGCCGAGGAACGGCAGCGGAACCATGTGTGGCACAGTAATATACTTATTGTGTCAATGCATAATGTACGCGATCTGTCACATAAAATTAAAAAAATCACGGTTTGCATGAGACTCGGCTGCAAGCCGAGTTTTCGCATCCGTAGGAACGCCACCGTCCTCTAGGATCAAGGCGCAGATGCAGAACCTAAATCGGTCACATATTATTATTATAATGATTGTGAACTAAAACAAGACATGTAAAGAGAAAAAAGGACCTATAAGTTGCGGTTATGAATAACAGTCCACGAAGGTAACGAGGTAATAGGGTCAGATAGTGCGACAACAAGCGCACGTGGTGCATCCCTTCCCCTCATTGGAACTTTCCGCACCTGAGCCTTCCAAGTTGGAAGGTTGTTGGTTTGCGCTTCGTAGATGTGTTGGAGCTAGGTGTCAGGTCGTCGAGTGTCAGTTTTGTGCCTTGTTGTCGCACTATCGCGGTTTATACAACAAAGCATTTCACGCCACTGTGATTTTTTTAAATAATTTAAAAAATATCCAGTAGTGGATGCTTAACATCTTATTGGCATCTACAAGCTATAAGTCAACATTTACCTGGATGGGTTGTCCAGCGTTGAAGAGGCTCGACACACTCAAGCTCTTCCAGCCCCCGCCCGTTCCTTGGTCTCCGCTCAGGCGGTCCCTCACACTGGACATGTCGCCCACCCACAGCTGTCCAACGTACGGCCCTCGCATGCTGTAGCTCACCTGCATGGTGCAGGACGCGGATGCATTGCTCCCATCTGCCCCGTTCCAGCATCGTTGTGCAGGCGTCTGTACGATTGTCGGTACTTTCACATTGAATGTACGACACAAGAACTGCTCAAACACCAGGAAATGACCTGCAGTACACGGCAGTGAGAGTAACAAAGAGAACAGAAACTCAGATAGAGTCCTTGATGCGTATCATATCCAGACTGCCAACATTGTTCTCCATGTGTACAATACTCTCTACAGGATAACATTTCGAAGACGAGGTTGGTGCGACTTCGGCGCTACTTGGGGAATTGTGTGTTGCTCCATACGTGGGAGCTCGCGCCTTTCCTGCAGACTTGAACGTATGAGTGGTGCTCTTCAGAGAACATCTTCCTCAGCCTACTCAAACTCAACTGATGAGGGGTGAATTTCCCAAAACACTGTGTATTGAGCAGGGAGTGGTGCGTTCTTGCAGGTTTGCCGAATGGAAGGTTCGATGGACTTCTCGTGTGCTCTGGATGGCAGTCGTGAGTCAGTCACGTGAGATTTCAGGTCGGCAGGAAAAGCGCGAGCTCCCACGTAGGGAGCAACACACAATTCGCCAAGATAACATTTCAACGGACATGTATAAGTAAAAAGCTTCTTCCATATCTGCATGGTTTGCCACCCTGAGTAAACGAATATTTGGTCACAAGGAAATCATCCTTGTCTACTTCTCCCAGATGGGGTGCATGGGACAAGGTCCCGCAATTCATCATGAACAACAACACAATGTGTTGTTGTTCATGATGATCCACTTACATGTCATGTAAGTGGTCAACCAAAGGCCAACTTATGGCTTCTAAGGAAATTTCTTTCAGAACAAAGATTTCTTCCTCTACCAAAGACTTAGCTGCAGCCCTTGAGGGATGCACACCCATCCCTGCACTCTAAATTCTTTCCACCTTTTTCCAGCTCACCCATGTTTGGGCCGAATGGCCTTGGGATTGCACTTCAGTCTTCAGTGGTACACGCTGTGAAGCCAGTGCCTGTGCCAGTGCCAGTGCCAGAGCCAGTGCCAGTGTGCAAAGTCCATTTGTGCGTATAGCTACAGTAGTGTAGCACCCTGAACCAAGACCTGAAGACCTGCTCAGCAGAGGCAAGCCGGGCCTCTCGAGCCGAAGCCATCTGGACGACCTGAGACAGTTTGCTGCGGATCGCAATGGATGGCGGCAGATTATCTGAAGGAGTCGCCACAACTGCCGGATATTGACATACATAATGGACAGAGCTAGAGAACAGCAGCGGAAGCATGTATAGCACGGCTGTGCATGTTGTACGCGTCTCTGTGTTATTATTATTATTATTAGTGTCGCTATAGCGGAATACCTCCACGCTCCAACAACCCTACTGGTCAAGCTGCCTCACGAAACACACATTTCGTGACGCAGCAAAGGTGCGGCGGACCAGCTACTCCACTGAGACTAGTGACTAGCGTACCTTTGTCAGGCTGTTGGATAGTGTGGTCAAAGTCAGGTCCACTCGGCTGCGATTTGCCACCATAGCTATATCCAAAATTGGATTTCGGCTTGACAACTCGGTACAGGCTTCTAGAAGAGCTAAACTCATCGGGCAGATCTGTGTCTTCAAAGCTGTAGGCTACATCAAGACACCCTGAAGTGAAAGAGAGAGAGAGAGACACACACACACACATTATGGAAAGACGCCTCCCCAGGCTAGTGCCATGGCAATAGGAGATATGGAAATAAACGCTCCAAATTGCATGTTTTTTATTTTTTTTTACTGAATACCACAGTACCATCAGATGCTGCACAGCGGTGGCGGTGGCATATTGGATGGAAGTGGGGGCGGGGCAAAAGTAACTCCTCCGACCAAAGGTATCGGAATCATCGTTACTCCTGTGCGCCGATACATAGGAGAAAAGAAACATGTGCATCCAAGAGGGAAGCACCGGCTTTGGAAACGATAATGGGGAGAATTTGAGATTGAGATAGGACAAAACAATAGTAAAAGCAGTGCACCGTAGGAAGATGGAGAGAACTGATAATCGGATTTTAAGGCCGAGCGAAGGGGATCAAAGAGGGGTAGAAGGGAGCTGGAGTGCGATCAGTATAATTAGGCTGGTATGTTGGCTGCGATGGAGAGATCATAGCCTGTCTGTGGCTCACTCCCACTTGCTGCGCCGCAAGTGGTCGTTGACATTTTTCATGAACGTGTGCATACCTCTGCGAGAAGGGGGAGACTGCAAACGGGTTGGTGGGAGCTGATTCCACGTTGCGATGAGGGAGTGTGGAAATGAGCGGAGCGTGTTGTTTCGTGACTGAGGAGGAAGAATACTGGTGAGTTGTGATGGATGATGTGTTGCAGATCTGCTTGTCTCACGAGTAGACATTGCGGTGCGGCTGCTGATGGTGGGAGAATGGCTTTCACCATTTCCGGACCCTCCACAAAGTGCAGCTTGTACAGAAAGCAGAGCCCTGCTACGGTACGGCGAATGTCGAGGCTCGGGAGGTATGATCCATCTCCAATTATGTGCAGGGCACGGCGCTGGATGGCAGTGAGGCGGGCCAAGGTGGTGGGGGCTGCGCTCATCCACACCAGCATGCCATACTCTAACACAGGGCGGACAAAGCCACGGTACACGATTGCCCGGTGCTTTGGGTCTAGCACAGCCGATGCCTTACGGAGGAAGCCGAGCCGCTGGGCTCCGCGTACAGCAAGCTGTTGGATATGGCTGCGAAATGCCAGCCGCCTGTTGAAGGTGACGCCAAGAAGCTCGAGCTCCTCTACTTCTGGCACGACTGCTCCTTGGAAGCGTATTGCGTTCGGGGGGGGGGGGGGGGGTGGCGAGTGGTGGTGGCTGATGGTCAATGCCTGCGACTTTGTGGGCTCGAACTTGATCCTCCACCTGCTTCCCCATGCTGCCAGTGAGTCTACTGCCTGCTGGAGGATTGCTGTCTCTTCTGGCAGTCTGAGTCGGGTGGTGATGCACTTGTAGAGAGTTGTGTCGTCGGCGTATACAGCCAGCTTCGCCCCATCAGGCAGGTGGTCTTCTGCGTCGTTGACGTACAGAAGGAAGAGGGTGGGGCCGAGGATGCTGCCCTGCGGCACGCCAGATTGGATTCGGTGGGTCGGTGAAGACTGGCCGCCTATGACAACACGGATGTGGCGGTCTGTCAGGTAAATCCGGAGCTAGGCAAGGAGGGGGCCACTTATGCCGCACCGCTCAGCCTTGTGGAGGACGCCGTTGTGCGAGTCCTTGTCCGCCGAAATAATGAGGGGTGTGCGCCAGGGAGTCGTCAAATACCAATATTTGACGACTCCCTGGTGTGCGCATACTAAAATTATGATAGACCAAGGCAAGGGTAGGTTGGTAGCTCTGCAGTGCCAGTACATGAGCATACTAGTACGTGGAGAGTACCATAGCAATCTCCCTCTCCATCTCCTATCCAGCCAGAGCGCGTGTATTTGAAAAATTGTGATATCACTTGTCATTACTTGTGCAGCACTTCCCACTCATATTCATAATCATGACAGTCAGTAATGACAGCAGGTCGTCATTATAGGGCTTGAAAGTGCTACGTCACAGAATAGCAACAATTTCAAAAATTCAAAAACTGGATCCAAGTTTGTATGGATCCAAGCACATTTCAAGCGGTCTTACTCACAGCAAGGTGATGTAGCCAGTGAAACTGACTGATTTGGCTAATAGGGGCGGGGTGACACCTGGTGACGAAGTAAAAGTCACACATGCATATGACATGAGTGGGTTGCTATGCATCCACATACTGAGGCAATAGCAAAGTCACACCTTAGCGGATCCAAAATAGAAATATGATGTCAACTTACTACTCCCTGGCCGTTTTTGACGTCATCACTTTCAAGCCCTATTGTACTGAGTCTGTACTGATCAGAGTTTACAGGCAGTACACCTGGTACACTGTACCGGTACTACAATGTAGCACACTGCCCAGCCATCATGTAGATTGCACACAAGTGGCGAACGCGTGTCCCGACCTACAGTAAGATCAGGGTACTGTACTACTAGTAAGCCAGGATTTCCTAGACCAGTAACTCCCTAGTAGTAGCGTTAGTTGTTATTGAACTGGGCAAATTCTACTTACGATTCGTTCTTTGGCTGGCAATTTGTGCGACATTTGCGAGAAACAGCGCTGTGATCATCTCAAACCGTTTGCTCCATAGCATCGAGACAAGCAGCCCGAGGCTTCCCATCGTGTGGCCGGCCCACTGGGGAACTGAACTCCAAATAGAAGCATCAGGCGACAAGAACCTCCCGCTCCATCGGATTCCTGTTTCAAGAAGAAATGGTCTTGGACACTTTCATTCAGCCAGTGTGTGGCCAGGCTTGAAGCCCTGCAGGAGTGTCAAGCCCGAGTCAAGATTCGACAAGACGTTACCGTGATCGTGTGCAACACTGCCCTCTTGACGTCTGGGGATTATGATAACTAGACGCTAGGCAGTAGGCAGTGCATTTCTAGAACCGAACGTCGATTGGAGCTGAGATGGCAAGTGGGGATACTACTCAGCCGACCCTGAAAAAAGGCGTTCAACTCAAAACTGGGCACATGTATGTTGTAGCCTGTAGGGTCTCTTGATCTGCCGATACCAGAAGATCTAGGCAACAGTTATGTAGATCCACATAGGATTCTGTTGGAGTTGCGTTGGAGTTCCGCTACGTGTGTCGTAGAGTCTAGTAGTAGTAGCGTAGAGTACGAATCCCAGCTGCCTATGCCATGTTCCGTCAGCCGTGCTGCTGCTGTCGTCATGGTAGGGAGGACACCAGATACGGATCCGGATGATATCGGATGTGCACTAACTAGCATGTAACTATTGTTGTGGGCAGTGCACTAGTGGTGGCTGGCGTGCATCCAAATCCCGCACCCGGACTAATTGTGGCTCAAGGATGAACATAATAGACCCTTTGCACAATAACGGTCACGTGATCCGAGACGGGGCATCCTCTTCGATTTTTGTGCAGAGTATCCGTTGTTGAGCATGGTGAAACACTGTATTTTTCCATTTTGGAGATGGAGGAGAGAGTGTCGAGTGGTTTGCCATCGATGGCTGTGGCACCCGTGGACGAACTGTCAAATGAAGAATGGCCTGTGAAGGAACTGAACAGTTTTCTGCTGAATGAGGGTGCGTATCTGTCTGGAAAAAGAAGGAGTTGTTGGAGCGGTAAGTTTTCCGCAGTCAGTGGATATTTCGGATTACTGTAGATTGAAATTTATTTTTATTTTCTCTACCTTCTCTTCTCTGTCGATGTAGAGAACACTTCTCTATGCAGAACCCTGATGCTCCTAGAACTAAGAAGGGCACCACTTCCTCGAGTGTACAGTCGTCGTGCCCAACATTTCATGCGTCCCAGTGGATGACTCGATGAGTGCCACACCAGGCTTGCTCATCTCCAACGCAGGGGCAAGTCGCCGACGACAGTGAAGAGGGCTAGGGAGCTGATGGAGTAGTACTAGTGAAGAAGCCCGTGGATAGTGTCCATGAGTTTTACTTTGGTGGCTATGTGCATAACGTGAAAGTCTGTCATATCGTGCACACAGCCACAGCTCGAACTCAGATGGCCTTCTCTGCACGCCTGAGCGATGAGGCTGCGTCTCTCTGCACTTCAACATCAGCAGCTCGAGCAGCGCCAGCAAGCAGTCGATCTTCCTTGAATAGCGAAGACAGGGATGGGTCATGCCTTTCTCTCAAGCTCCAGAGTCTCTTGGCAGGACGTTCCGCGTCTTCGCAAAACGATGAAAGTGACTGTCTTCATCGACAAAGTGTTCCGAGCAAAACCGTGACTGTGAACGATGTCGCAGCAAACTGCTGCCCTTCTCGCCAGATAGCCAGGATTCAAGAGAGTAGAATGCCAGCATCACTAGGGAACGCCTGGAAAAACAAGTGGGTTTCTTAGACAAGGGATGACGGTTGCTCCAAACAAGAACCCAACAGCAGTCCTTGGAAAGCATTTCGGAACTTCTTCCTTCAGAACTAAAAAAACTTCAAATGAAAAAAGGCTGGGGAGTACATACATGAACATCGCGTCGGGACCGTGAAAACCTAGCCTGTCACAGGAAACTTGATCACGTCCTGCAGCAAACCATGCATGCTGGTTGCATGCCAAGTGTGCAGCGCGCGCACAGCATGCCCCGTCTCGACCCCTCTCGCTTATTGCGCAAAGGGTCTATTGTGGTCGGCCGTCAACGCGATCTGCACTGCACAGCGTAAGGGAGGACAGAACGACCAGTTTGCACTGAGGTCTGAACTACACTGTTAGTGTTACTACCTGAGGGCAGATATAATATGTACATGACATTGCACTTATGGCCACTTGCAAGTTGCAAGTACGAAAAACGCACAAATTTCCAAACTTTGACGCTCCATAAGTACCACAAAGTGAATAAGTATCCACGCATGCCGAAGCATGATATGAGGATTTTGCGAGCATAATGCAAGCATCCATGAAAGCATAAATCCATGATTTCGCGAGTATAATCCGCCGGAGCCTACTGCTTGGACAGACGAAATCATCTGTTGCCAAACTGAGTGTTTCTCACTACGTTGGAACGAAACCGCTGTAGCAGCATACTGACCTGTATTGCATGAATACTTCACTATTGTTACACTTCTCCATGACCAAGAAAGGAACAAACCAGGGACGGAGACGTACATGTATTTATCCAGTCCCGCATTCTCTATTGCGTGCCAACACCAGTGGGTCATGCAATGGTTCCTGGGTGGATCATGCCTCATGGAGTCATGGTGCTCTGGTGGACCATGGAGCCTTGATGGATATGTCAAGGCAGTCAGCATGCCCAACGTGGGGTATAGTGGAGAATACCGGCATCAGCTGTTACTTTCACAGATTGTGTTACAAGGAACTTACTGAAGTACAAGAGTGAATAGAGGACCGGGTATGCTTTAGTTCGTCTGTTCATTGTTCTATAGTGCAACTCACACCCTGAGTTACGAATAATACCACTCGTCTTCTACTCTGTCTGCTGTGTGTGTCTACGCTGTGTGTGTTTCTCTATATTGAGCACTGGACGTATAAGGCTGGTGAACTACACTATTGTGGTGTAATCATGTAATGTATGCAACAAGAAGAAGAGGATGATAAGAAGGGGATGAAGATTTCGTTGTAACTTCGAGCTTCACACACAAGGCGACAGCTGGCCAATGATCGCCTCGTGAGAATGAAATTCGGAGTTAAACGAAATCTGCATCCTCTTGTAAGTAACTCAGTCTTTGGGCATCGAGAGAACTCTATTGGACTGCCCGGAACATTTCGATTTTATTGTGGTATACGTACGGTAACATGGATATGTGCCGGTGCTTATGGTTTCCTCAGACCAAGGTTTCTGTGACAAATCGGCCATATAAGCCTTCACTGTATGTAACTATGATGACAGCATATCACAAGGCGGAGGACCCAGAGCGGAGAACACATTGCATTGAACGTAGTGTTCCTGGCTTACATGTACGTACAGTCACTACTAGTACGGAGACCTTATGTACCTACTGAAGTACATGTACATGTATTTTCTCCTTTGTCGCGACTAGGCCTCCTTTTTACATTGTACATGTACTAAGAGATGTGCATGATTGTGCAACATGGACTGTAGACACGGATTTGAGTACTGTAGGTACATTGGCGATTTGGACGTTCTCTAGTGAAATGAGTACTGGCTTAGAGTGAGATGAGTACTGGCTTAGAGTGAGGGTATCAGCCAATGCCTATATCGGAGTATGGGTGAGATTGTTGTTGTTGTTGTTGTTGTTGTTGTTTGTTTATTTTACATCGCATGTCAAACGGGCAGTTCTGCCCAATATTATGAAAGCGATGACAACCAGTAAGAAGAGTCAGAAATGAAGAGAGAAAGAAATAAAAATACGAAAATGGAAGTAGCAATGAGGGGAGGCAGGGTTAAGACGAACAGAAAAGGGATCTCAAATTTACAAGTCGGGTCATCGTAGCATGATTCTATTGAGCCTTATCAGCAGGTTACGAAAGCCATTACATTTAACCGAAGTAAAATACGCGTAGCATGCATTTGAATTCACGGACAGATACTATGGACTTCATACAGTCGGGCAGATTGGAGAGCAAGCCAGCAAACCAGTATGCATTTAGCAAAACATGCTGCAAATGCCCTAGATCATAGACATAACTGTGTTCGTGTCTGTGCGATTCTGACTCGATGGCTGATGATGATGTCATTCGACCGGATCGTAACGCCATGGCTTTACTGCGATAATTCCACCGTTCAATCTGCACTATCTCCAGACGCCATTCATACCGGAGTAAAGTGGTCCACATGATCGTGCATGCACTGCTATATCTTTCGTCTCCGTTCCAGAAGGAACCTCGGACGGCCGCTAACACCTGGAAAATCAAACGGCACATGCAGCGCCTATCGCCTATCGGTGGCATATTCGACTCGTACTACATAGGACAAACATGTTACAAACGGCAACACACTCTTAGACGACTTCAAAGTACACTTAATATTAATAAAGTTGGTTGCTCCAACGAGGAGCACACGCTTCTTGCCGAACTTGACACTTGACTGACTCACGACTGCCACCCGGAGCACACGAGAAGCACGTCGCACCTTCCGCTCGGCAAACCTGAAAGAAAGCACCAGTCCCTGCTCAATACACAAGTGGTGCTTTTAAGGCACAATCTTCCTCAGCCTACTCAAGCTCAACTGATGAGGGGTGAATATAGGTAAGCCCCAGGTAGCAGCGTGAGTCAGAGTCGCTCATGGAGTTGTGCTAAACAGACGTTGAGAGCCAGCCATTCACAACGCTGTCACGAGGTGTTTGTCGCGCTGGAAACAAAGCGTCTCTGTAAGTTTGTCTCCCTGGTGATGGTTTGGCCTGGAGAGCAGTATATAAGTGGTGCTTTTCAGACACAATCTTCCTCAGCCTACCCAAGCTCAACTGATGAGTGGTGAATTCCCCGAAACACTGTGTATTGAGCAGGGAGTGGCCCTTTCTTTCAGGTTTGCCGAGCGGAAGGTGCGACCGTGCTCCGGATGGCAGTCGTGAGTCAGTCAAGTGTCAAGTTCGGCAAGAAGCGTGTGCTCCTCGTTGGAGCAACCAACTTCATGACTAACACCGCCGAAGTCGCAACTTCTAAGTACTTAATATTTAGTTATGAAAAGAGAGAAGTTCTCTTCTGGTGTCATGTCTAACATTGGGTGTGGCCCAAGCGAAGGCTAGGCTAACGCCGATGCCAACTAGGCCTTGACAGATTATGCTAGCATAATTTTACGCATAATTCCTACCAAAATAGAATAATCGCATAATTCGAGGCAAATTGCATACGAATCGCATAAAATTGGAATAATCCGCCTGTTCGCATCAAATTCCATACAGTTGTACAATGTTCTACATGTACAAGTACAAGCAAGAGTACATAAACCAGAGTGTGCAACTGTGCATATCAGATCTGAAACAGCGCAGTTCGTGCACTACGTCACCCTGATGAGATCAGCCAAGCCGCGACTTGCGTACAGCTCAAATTTTCATGTTTCATAGCCCGGAAATCAGCCAAGTTTGCTTGATTTTAGACGTCCTGTTTCAGGATTTCGGTGTTTTGTGTGACTGTACATCCACCGACAAGTAAAGTCACCAGGCTATCCGTCTCAAAAAACCGAAATCAGGACAAACTCAG